TGGTAGTAGTTAGCAAACCCAATGAACCGTAGCTTTCAATCCATTGGTTAATGGCCAGAGCAGAACAGCCTCTAGTTTACGTGGATCCATCTGAAAACCAGAGGCCAAAATGATATAGCTGAAGAACTGCTGCACTGTTTGATCAAACAGGCATTTCTCAAGTTTGCAATACAACCCGTTCTCGAGTAATGCTTGCAACACTTGTTTTACATGCTCATGGTGAGTAGGGAGATCGGGCGAATAAATAAGTATATCATCAAGATAAACCAAAACAAAAGTATAGATATATTCTTCAAAAAGATCATTTATGAGGTCCTGAAATACAGCTGCAGCATTGCATAAGCCGATGGGCATAAGTAGATACTCGGAGTATCAAAAAAAAAAAGAAAATAGGAAGTGCAGTAAAATAATTATTGTATTTATTAAATATACAATATATTATTGAGAAGTGATATATAGATCTAATTTTTTTTGGCAGCAAGTGTGAACTTCAGATTCATGAACTAGAATGAACATGCTCACCCATTGCGTTTTCTGGTTGGTACATGATTTGGGCATATTTCATGTCACAGTTCAGGAATTCGACCAACCATTTAATCGACCCCAATTCAAGATGAATTGCTGTTAGAAACAAAATAAAGTCTATCCATACCAAAGTCACGAGCTGAAGTTGTTAGGGAGGAGGGGCATTCCTGTAATATGTAATGTACACATTTCATTGGCATTCCACTGGTTAATCTACTGTGTATGCTTGCTCAGATAGTATACAGAAATCCATGAACTTTTAAAAGATCACATAGCAACAATTCATTTTTTCCATTCTGTACACCTCCAATCTCTCTTATAATTATTTGTTTTGACACCATTTATTTATCCTAAGTGAACACGAATAGGGCATAAATTTGGGTTATTTAGTGGAAACAATTCAGAGCCCTGTGAGATGTTGTTTTCAAATCAAAGGAAAAGAAAGGTAGTGTTTACTGTGTCACAGCAAAGAGAACTGACTCACACTTTGCATATTTAGCCTAAACATAATCACATCTTATCACAGCTATGCATTTCATCATTTTCTAGTTGTTCTCAACAGGAAATGTGAAAATCCAAAGAGAATAAATTATATTTAAAAAAAAAATAAAAAAAGAGATAGAAAATTATCCATTGGTAAGAAACACAAACAAAAAAAGTCTTCTGTTATTAGGTGTTATTTAATGTCTGCAGGGGAAGACTGTAATGAGACACAATATAGACAATACATAGATACCAATTATCAATATACTTTAGCCAAAAAATAGCATTTTCCTTTGTTTACTAAATCCCTCTGATCTGCTTATTGAGTGTTTTGTGTACTATTAGAAAGGTTAGAAGTGGTTGCACAGAAGTTGTTAGCTTTCTGCCATAAGGAAGCGCAACCGAGAGCTGTGTTGTAAGTCACAACAATGAAACAGCCAATGCTGTTATTTTAACATTTTTTTTGTGTGTTACTTACCTTATTTTGGAGGTATCCTACTCTATGAAGATAGGTCTATCACTTTGTAGGAAGCTTTGTCTATTTGATCGTATTTATGGTCCTGTTTTTCGCTACTGTGGAGACATACTAATTTGAGTTTGATATGGGCTACTTTACCCTCCTTATCTGTTTAGAATAAGGGTGTACACTTTTTTGTAGAGTTCCATTCTTTTACCAAACTCTCTCCTCCTCCTTCTTTCAATCTTATAGGGAGGTATTACTAACCCTTCAGTACTTTTATACTTAGCCCAGACATACTTATCTGCATTTCTAGCCTGGCTTCCTTTTTCCCTATTTTTGCTGCAGTTTATTTATTATTTATTTTCCAAGTGCATGACTAGACCGTGGTGTCACTTACTGATCAGTCTATTTAGGTGACTTTACTTTAGCTATTTAAAGGCAAACACTATTGACTCACCTTTATCCTATAAACAATAACGTGACTTTTTGGGTTTAGTGTGCCCAGGTTTTTAATTGGTGTTGGTATTTATCTTATCACTTACACTGTTTTTGTGTATATAGCATTATTCTGTTTAATAAAGATTTTCTTACTCTATTTATGTGACGTTGTACATTAAGGAGGTATATTTAAATGGGTTGGATTTTCCACCTACTTCTTGTGAGTGGATTCTCTACCCCATTCTGTCTTTTCATTGTTGTAATTTTCTGGGGTTAGGCCCCTTGTACCTCCCGTAACCTTTTGGGGAGGGGTGGTGGTTTTCATCCCCTCTCCTCTCTTTTTTTTTGTGTTGTAAGTCATATCTTTTCGTTCAGCAGAAGTTTTGAATATATAGAGCCTGCTCACCGCTCTGACACAAGTGAGTCATTCTGTCCACATTTTACACTAGTAGTGCCTAAAACGATATCATCCAGGTATATAGCTTTCTTTATTATGCAATATATAAACTACACTGCTCAAAAAATTAAAGGGAACACAACAATAACACATCCTAGATCTGAATGAATTAAATATTCATTCAACGTTGGTGGATGGAGCGAGACATGATGTCCCAGATGTGCTCAGTTGGATTCAGGTCTGGGGAACGGGCAGATCAGTCCATAGCATCAATGCCTTCGTCTTGCAGGAACTACTGACACATTTCAGCCACATGAGGTCTAGCATTGTCTTGCATTAGGAGGAACCCAGGGCCAACCGCACCAGCATATGGTCTCACAAGGGGTCTGAGGATCTCATCTCGGTACCTAAAGGCAGTCAGGCTACCTCTGGCGAGCACATGGAGGGCTGTACGGCTCCCCAAAGAAATGCCACCCCACACCATTACTGACCCACTGCCAAACCGGTCATGCTGGAGGATGTTGCAGGCAGCAGAACATTCTCCATGGTGTCTCCAGACTCTGTCACATCATCTGTGAAGAGCACAGGGTGCCAGTGGCGAATTTGCCAATCTTGGTGTTCTCTGGCAAATGCCAAACATTCTGCACGGTGTTGGGCTTTAAGCACAACCCCCACATGTGGATGTCGGGCCCTCATAGAGTCTGTTTCTGACTGTTTGAGCAGACACATGCACATTTGTGGCCTGCTGGAGGCCATTTTGCAGGGCTCTGGCAGTGCTCCTCCTGTTCCTCCTTGCACAAAGGCGGAGGTAGCGGTCCTGCTGCTGGATTGTTGCCCTCTTCCACGTCTCCTGATTTACTGGCCTGTCTCCTGGTAGCGCCTCCATGCACTGGACACTACGCTGAGAGACACAGCAAACCTTCTTGCCACAGCTCGCATTGATGTGCCATCCTGGATGAGCTGCACTACCTGAGCCACTTGTGTGGGTTGTAGACTCCGTCTCATGCTACCACTAGAGTGAAAGCACCGCCAACGTTCAAAAGTGACAAAAACATCAGCCAGGAAGCATAGGGACTGAAAAGTGGTCTGTGGTCACCACCTGCAGAACCACTCCTTTATTGGGGGTGTCTTGCTAATTGCCTATAATTTCCACCTGTTGTCTATCCCATTTGCACAACAGCATGTGAAATTGATCGTCACTCAGTGTTGCTTCCTAAGTGGACAGTTTGATTTCACAGAAGTGTGATTGACTTGGGATTACATTGTGTTGTTTAAGTGTTCCCTTAATTTTTTTGAGCAGTGTATATTTTTACCAGTATTGTAGTATGCAATACTCTATATTAAGAAAATCCATCCTATATTCCAAACAATACGGTATATAAAATGCATTAAAAACTATTTGCTTGGACCTCATAGGTGACTTTTTAGGACTTATTATTTTCATATGCAATTTTATTTTCCTCCACAAGGTCTCAGATTCTGAATATAACCAAGAAAAAAAGAAGGGATTTGGGAAACACCTGGGACATACATTTCTCAGCAGTGGTGCTGCTGTAAACAACAAAATTTACACAAAATAGAGATTAAGGAACAGCGAACACACAAAAATACAGTTTTATTATTAAAGTGACATTGCTTTACAAAACCTCTTCAAATGTATACTTTGCTGTGGTCACCTCCACCCTGTCCCACAATCTGCTTCAGATGTTCCATTGGAGGTGTTCATAGTAAAGTATAACTTAAAAGAGATTTTGTATAACAAAATCTTTATAGTAATTGTTATTTGATGTAGAGCAGACAATTGTGAGTATACACATAACCTCTGTATCACTTTGATTATTTAGTAATGACACCATTAAAAAAATAAAATAAAAAATAACATTATTTTTGCATGATATATATTCACAATGCCCTTTAGCTAATTTAATACTAGCACTATTTCATTTGTCTCCCATGTGAAAATTAGTGTAGGACCCACTGATATTGAGGCACTGTGGCATTGTGGTGGACTTAACACGATATGGCTAGATTGTGGAACTGAATCCACATATTTGTTCGCTGAGAAAGGTGATTTTAAGTAGCTTTGTAAAATATGAAGCTATTTTTGTGTGTGCTGTTCCTTAAACAGTATTTTGTATAAATTTTAGTCTTCACAGCTGCGGAGAAATGCATGTTGCAGGTGCGACCCCAATTGTAATGTTGGAGTCCAGACCAGATTCCTTTTGGGTCGAACATCCCCTCCGTCCACAGTTCAGATGGGTCTAAAAGGAAAGTAAAATTTAAGGAGGTTTTGTATAGTAATGTCACTTTTATAATAATTCTTATTATTCTATAATGCAGATATATAATACGCATAGTGAGTATATACATAAAAGCACTATCACTTTGATTATTTATTTATGACACTGACACTGTATTTATAAAAAAAAGTTTTATCACATTAATTTTGCATGATATATACTCAATGCTCTTACAACAGATTAATTAAATACACTTAAGTTCATTTAGCATTAGCACTATTTAATTTGTCTCCCATCCCACGTTAAAATTATTGTAGGACCCACCGATATTGGGGTACTGTGAGGTAGTGGTGGGCTTAAAGATAAAATGGCCATTTGGTGGAAATGAAACCCCATATTTGTTTGTTAAAGGATCACTATAGGGTCAGGAACACAAACATGTATTCCTGACCCTATAGTGTTAAAACCACCATCTAGCCCCCCTGGGCCCCTCATGCCTCCATAAATATAGCAAAATCTTACTGTATTCAAGCCAGAAGCTGTAGATCTGCATGCTGTTTGCCTAAAAAAAAAAAAACAAGCAGTCTGCTGACATCATCAGAAGTGGTAGCCTGATCCAATCACAGTGCTTCCCTATAGGATTGGCTGAGACTGACAAAGAGGCAGATCAGGGGCAGAGCCAGCATGATTCAAACACAGCACTAGCCAATCAGCATCTCCTCATAGAGGTGAATCGAATCAATTAATCTCTATGAGGGAATTTCAGTGTCTGCATGCAGAGGGTCAAGACACTGAATGTTTGGATGCATTTTAGGCAGCCATGACCCAGGAAGGATCTCTAACAGCCACCTGAGGAGTGGCCAGTGAAGTTATCACTAGGCTGTAATGTAAACACTGCATTTTCTGTGAAAATACAGTGTTTACAGCAAAAAGCCTGAAGGTAATGATTCTACTCACCAGAACAAATTGAATAAGCTGTAGTTGTTCTGGTGACTATAGTGTCCCTTTAAGATAGACGATTTTAGGTAGCCTTGTAAAATTTAAAACTGTATATCTCTCTAAGATATACACAGGTTAAGGTGTATCTGACATGTTACACAAAAAGATTAGTCACTGCTTTCAATACATGCTTTTTTTCCCCATTAAACAATATTGTAACACAGTTTTGATCAACAGACTAACATGATGGCGGCTAGTTATCTCTGCTGAAATGAATGTGAATTAAAACAGATGTAACCACATGATTTATTCATTTTATAGTCGCTTCTGCTTCATTGAGGACAAAGTAAAGGTTTCTGCCTAACTAGCAGCAATAAATGTATGGGGATTTTGTATTTTGAACATGTTGCTATGTACAAGTGCTGTGTAGATCTAATGAATAGCTTTTCTACTTTAATGTAAAATTATGAGTTTAGAAGAATTTGTTTAGATAAAGCTTTTTGTATACTGCAATCTTACACTGTCTCACTATTATTCATATGTACATCAATGCTTTAATGTAATTATGTATAAAATTATACAGCCTGGATTGGCACCTTTATAAAAAGACAAGCTAGTCTACTACAATGCATTGTATAAAAGAAAAGAAAAGTACAAACATGACGTTTACAATAAAATGATAAAAATTGCTACCAGCAAACACATATCGACAAAAACATATGTGTAACTCATTAAATCTACTACTCCACTAAAAACGACACAGACTTAAAATCCAAGACTCTGATCAATGTTCCAAACGTAAAGAGGTAGAAGTTGATCAATTTCACTCCTTTGGGAAATGTGAAGGGAGGTAAGTGACTATTTGACTTCATTGACAAGCACTAGCCTCTCACTTAAGAAGCAGCCATATTTATTACATTTCTAACCCCAAAGACACGTCAAGTTTATACAGACAGATTTGGCAATGCTCAAACATTTTTACAAAGTATTTTTTGAAGCTGCCATCCAAAGTTTTGCTTCAGTCTGAACTCTTGGGTTGGCTTTAATCATCTCATCATAAAGGTAGCCTTACCCCCCAAAAAATGGTCTGGATTTGTGGGTTCATTGATTAACTTGTTATATAAATGAGAGAATTAATTCTGAAAAACTTTGAAAAAATTACCATATTTACAAAATATATTACTGGGACGTTGGACTATTGGTGCTAAATATTGAACCTATTTATGTTACACAGCAGTTTATCACCTGTTCAATGAAGGGTGACGATGTAAAAGAAATGCTTTATTATGAGATGAGAGACAGGCGACATAATGCAGTGTAAATTGATTTGATTATAAATATTGTTGTTACATTAAAAATGATTATGTATGGGGAAATTCTGCTCTAATGTCCCACATGTACAGTAAAACACCTATAGTTTAACTTTTATTCCTCAATAAATTGTTTTTAAAAAAATGAATATAAATATCTTGAAATAAGAATGTCCATGCTTCTTGTGATTTATTAGTTACCATAAGGTATATAGGTCTAATTTATCATCAAGGTGCTTGAAATATATACAATAAATAGATAGATATTCTGTTAATGACATAATAAACCCATGCAGTTTGGGATCAAAGTGTGCTTTTTATAGTTTCAATTCATGTCAGGGTCAGTGGACAGAAGACAAATACATTTTTTTAGAATAAACTAGGGCAGCTCAGGCATTTTCAGGGATACCTAAAAATTTACATTTACGAAAATATGGTTATTTTTATTCATTCATCCCCTCAGTATTGGGGATTATTAGAGATTGAGAGTTTATAACATATACTTTGTGTTAGAATAATTTTCCCAGGTTCCTAACAAAAATAACAATATTTCAACCAGTGAAATACAGTAAAAAAAATATCAAATGTGATAGTGTTGTTGATATGCAGATTCACAAAATGCAGGCAGAATGGAAATAATATAACTACACAAGAGCAAATAATATAAACAAACAGATAACTGTCTAAAACCACCTGGATTTAAAAAAAAATGCAAAATTAACTTGACCGGAAGTGTTTAGGAAGGCTATGTAAGTCACATGCAGGGAGGTGTGGCTAGGGCTGCATAAACAAAGTGATTTAACTCCTAAAAGGCAGAGAATTGAGCAGAAAAACTACAGATGCATGATCTATACATCAAAACTGCTTATTAATGCTAAAGTTGTCTTGGTGTCCCTTTAACCCCTTAAGGTCCAAACTTCTGGAATAAAAGGAAATCATGACATGTCAAACATGTCATGTGTCCTTAAGGGGTTAAAGTGGGCTCTGTGATGTCAATTTCAGCAACTGAAATGAGAACTTGTAAATATATCATGTGAAATTAGTATATTTTACATCTCCACATATATAATCTTATATTAGGCGGCTAAAAATTTATTGGTTTCTTTAAACTACAGCATTGACATTACAGTTGATTTCCTTGGGTGGTAGAGGGGGGAGGGAAAAACCCCAATCATGTCTCTCTTTCTCTTTTCGTTCTAGATCTCTGACTGATTTCATTGTGATCAGAGAACATCTCAGCACAGCCCAGTGTGATCTGACAAGAGGTACAGACAGCATTATTACTGTGCTAGAAAAAGTGTTAGCAAAGTGGAACTTTCCTGTGAATCTCCCACTTTCGTTTTGTTTCTTTGTGTGCTATAAATCAGCGACTGAGGCATCTTGAACTGAGCAAATGACACAGATTTGGAATGTAGCCGATTATTTTAGATTAGAGTTGGAAGGATTTCTAGTTACTACGTCTAAGATCTACATTTTGGGGACTAATTATCCTAAAGAATCCACATGTATTGTATTTTAACTTATTTGAAAAGGTACAATTATAAAACGCAGAGTTCTTTTAAAAACCGGGACTTGTATAAAATGAAAAAAGTGGAAGAGCTGAAGTGCTTTTTTTGCCTCGAGCGTTCCTTTAAACAGCCACTTAGCTAAAAGTAGTGACAGGTCCTTAGCAAGTAGCGGCTGGTTGGTAAAATGTAGCTACAGATATACCCATTCCTAGGTTTCGGGTGTAAAGAGATTTACAACTGGAGATTTTTAACTCACTCAGAGGGGCTATTTACTAAAGTCCAAATGGCTTTGTTCCAAATGGGACAAAACTATTTGGCTGCTTATAGAGCCATTTGGACTGCAAAATCCCAACATTGGTCATGGTGTTTGGCAGTGTCTGGATTTTGTAAGTCATGCCTCAAACAGGACTGAATTTCAGCCAGACCGAACGCCTGAAATCCGGATTGAATGCTGTAAATCCGAGCCTGTGTTTAAAAAAATAAATAAAAACATAGAACAGAACTATTTGCCTGCTGAGCAGCCATGTGTTGGCATTTAGTAGACATGCCCCCACCGGTTGAATGGCATGTGGGGGTATAAGGATGTAAAATACCTCTATTACAATAATATTGTCTTACTGAGCCCGTGAGGCTTTTTATTTATTATTTTATATTTATAAATCTCTTAATGTGGCAGGCTGACTAGCAAGAACTGGCCAGCTGCCATGTACACTGGCCAGCTGACCTTACATTGCAGAGGGCTATTTAACTATTTGGTTGTTAGTTGTGGACGCTGACAGCATGCAAAGAGTACTTAAAATGTATGTAGGCAAGTAAATGATAATTTATTAATGTGCTTCATGCTGGATGCATTTGCCCTGACTTTTATTAAAATGATTGCTTTGTGATTCTTCCAAATGCTACAGTTTGCATAGGATTCGTATGCGAAAGCTACAGCTTTGCTTGGGATGACCGAATTCTCACCGCATTTGGCTTTAGTAAACTTGGCAATTGTTAAGGCGGTTGGAATTCGGTCAGTTTCACTTTCAGCCTCTAGTACACTGAAGGGATAATCTACAACCATTTCATTTAGCCCTAATAGAGGTGTTAAATGAACTTTTGGTTGCAAGAAATCTCTTCAGTATTCATGACCTTTCTGCAGCAGTTTAGAAACCAACCTAGATCATTTAATATTATAAACGATGACACTTGGAGTTCAAGCAGACAGACTAACCTAATATTAGACAAAAAAATTTTTAGAAAGAAAGAAAAACAAATATCCCAACAAACTATGCACCCACTTTTTTTAAAGTATGAACCAACCCTTTATCGGCATTAATTACATCTGATTGAAATCAATGATTGTTCTTACAGAAAACACTTACCTATTTGCAGGGCTGAAAGTATTTATCACAATCACGAAACGTGTTATTCATGTCTGTGAGAGGTTGATATGTTAAATTTCTGCCGCAAATATCTGCACTTGTTAACCATCAGTTTTAACAAGGACTCCAGAGTCAAATCAAGTGTATTGTAATTGCTGTACAAAGAAATCATAATTGCAGAGTATAACTTGATCGAGTCAAACCACCAAGCGTATCATGCAATTATAAAATATATAGAACGAGAGTAAAACCAAATGTGATGATGACTTGAATGAATTTCAAGAATATGACTTCAATAATGTGGAAATATTCTCCCCCAAAATCATGCATCATGCAACTTTTTGTATTATAATTACAAAGGCACAAAGAATTATTTAGATACACGTGCCAGACATTTTATCTTATTACAGCAGATGTACCTTTACCTGCCAGTAATGTTGCCTATGGTAGAAATTATCGACTAAAGGAGACTTAACTGCTGCCATTGTTAATTATGTGATCTTGAGATCTACGTTCCAAGATTGGGAGGTTAACGGCAAGCAAAAT